CTACTCTATAGCACTTAAACCTAACTCACTACCTAAGAAATAGATTAACTATAGATTAGGAATAAGCCATCGTTATACTACGGTTTAAGATAATATATTTTATAGAAAATAGTTATTTATTTCTTAGTAAAGTTATAAGTACTAAAATTAAGTAAGAATTTAAAAAAGAATATAAAAAGTAAGTTATATCTTCTTATAATTTTTATATAATTTTATATTAATTTTATAATAAAATAAAATAAAATGAATTATTAGATTTATCTAATAATCTAGAATATATTAATTCTAGTTTATTAGATAAGTCTAATAATAAAGAGTTTTTTATTAAAAATACTATATTAAATAAAGAGGTTTTTATATACCTTAATAAACCTTAATTACCTAAAGAGGTAAGTATATTGATTATATATTTATTATATTATACTAATAATTAATAGGGAAATATTCTAGAATATTAGAAACTTAATAATATAAAGTTTCTATATTTTAGTAATCTTAGCTAGAAATTATCTAGCTATCCTTACTATATTAGCTTTAATAGAATCTAAATTCTCTATTAGTAATAACATTATTACTAAAAATAGAAATTAGATATTACCTAAAATAGTTAGAAAGGTATTATTATTAAAAGATTAGTTTAAAAAGCTTAGTTATAACTTAGTAGAAATATTAGACTTAGTTAATTAGTCTAGTATTTTTAAAAAATAAAAAAAAGATTATTTAATATATATATATATTTAACTTATTTTTCTAGATTAATTTTCTTATTATTTAATTATTTATAATTTTATATATAATTCACCTTTTAATAAAGAATTTAATAATAATATTTATAGAATTAATTATTTAATAAAGAATTTAATAATAATATTAATATTATTTTATTATTATATTGTAAAACCTTTTATTAAATACCTTTTTTATTTTAAATTTTTTTTAATTTTTATTAAAGTCTATAAAGCAATTATAAAGTCTTTTTATTACTTAATAAGATATTTATTTATATAGGAAAATAGCATATTTAGTATCTAACTAAGTATTATTATCTTTTTCTTTACTTAGTTTACTTTTATAAGATCGTAACTTAAAAAATACCTTTTTTTAAAATACCTTTAAAATATTTTATTTTTTAAACCTTTTAATTTTTAATTTATTCTAATTAATTTTATATAAATTATTTTATATATCTTTAGTTTTATTATACTTAATATTATATACTAGAATTTATATAGAATTTTTAAAATATTAAAAAATAAAAATACTAATTTAGTATTTTTAGTAACTAATTTAGTAATTTAATATATTAATACTAATTACTAATTAATTTAGTATTTTTTAGTATTTACTAAATTAGTATTAGTATTTAAAATCTATATTAATACTAATTAATTTAGTAATTAATTAGTAAATACTAAAAATACTAAAAATACTAATTTAGTAGCTAAATTAGTACGTACTAATTTCCAACCCTGCTCATATCTCAATGCCTGACCCAGTTTCGAGGGGTCTCCTCCTCAATACATGGTTATCCCTGCTCTTTTGTGTTAATGTGCTCGTACCAAAACAACGGGGTTTTGCTTTGGGTGCTGAAAAAAAGCTGATGTGTCCTGGGACCAAAGCTTCCGCCCTGTGAAGTTGGTGCAGAGAGGCTTGACACTTTCTCGTTGGCGATGTAGGCTTCGCGTGGACTAACTCGGGATCGAACCTGTGCGAGTTGTGCTTGTGCATGGTGAGACCTTTTTTTTTATTTTCCTTGGCTGTTGGCAACTCAACGCCAGTTCTGTGTGGCACTACCCCCATTGTGGAAACAAAACCGTTTTGCCACTTTTTGGTATGCTTTTAATTGGGTGGTAAAAAACAGCGAGGAGGAGTTTCTTCCCCCCTAACCGCGTGCCCATGTGTACGTGCCCCATGTGTGCCCATGTGTGCCCATATTCAAGATGGGTTGAGATGAGACGGTTTTATGCACGGCTGCGTCATCAAACGTCAAAGTATCAAAGTATGACGTGACGGACAAAAAAAAGTTGTCTGCAGGCCAGCAAAAACTTGTCTCGCGTAGAACATGTCGCGCAGGGAGAGGGGGGCTTTGGCGTACTGAAAGTAGACTTTTGTGGCGCAGTGTCAGGCATCCGATTCACCGGCGGATTATCTCCGACGTTGCAAGATATGTAGGTTGCAAGATGTACGTTGATGACAACAGATGGATGAGCCAGCAACTCCTGGACAATACAAGTAAAGAGTTGCAGCCATGAGGCTGTGACTGTGACCAGCATCCATGACCGACCTGCTTCTATCGAATATTACACAGCTTGACTGTAAAACAGTGAAGCCTACTTCTGCAGGCAAATGTCGATTTTGAGATTGATCACATTTTACAAAGTATCAGATTAGTCTGAGATGCTTTTCTGTTGTACTATCGTGTTGCTTTCTTAAATGAGGGCTGTCCTATCGTTATGAGGCCAGCATTTTTTTCGCGAGTTCAACGTGCCATGTCCGAGGTCTTGTCTAGTTTACATGGGAAAGCGTCGTTTCGTTAATCGATGTTTACCGCAATGTTCGCGGCCGCGTTGTTTAATCATTGCAAGTTTGCACCCGCGATAGCGCTCCATGACGCCATAGCAACGTCAGGGCACATTTTCCGGGTATAAGTGAAGAGTAGTTCCCTAAATGATGACCAGCTGGAAATAAAGACTTGGCTGCCCAACTTTTTTCAAATTGTCTGCCGTCAATTCAGCATGAAAGTCATTGTCGCAGTAAATGCGGGTTCCAGCTCGGTAAAGTTGTCAGCTTATATTGAACAAGATGCGAAAGCGCCGACAGAAATCAGCCGCGCCCAAGTTTCTGCGATTGGGGGACAAGGATCCGCCCGGCTCAAGTATTCTAGGAATGGGAAAACTGTCAAGGACGAAAAGGCCGAGAAAGCAGGCGAGTCACACGATGCGGCTTTTCGAGCAATGGTAGACCTGCTCGTCCAAGACTCGGAGCTGCCGCAAGTCCAAGATCGAGACGATGTTGGTCTAGTCTGCCACCGCATCGTTCACGGCGGCGACTACAAGGACTGCCAGACCATTACGGCGGAAACGTACGAGCATCTGGAGGAACTGGTTGACCTGGCTCCATTGCATAATGAATGCGCCATGGGGATTATCCGTTGCTGCTTCAAGCTGCTCCCCAAAAGCAGAAACGTGGCATGCTTCGATACGCAATTCCACAAGACGATACCAAAGCACATTGCCATGTACCCAATCAATCAAGAAGTGGCATCCCGCAACGGGTTGCGCAAGTATGGGTTTCACGGGCTTAGCTACGCGTACATGACGAGACAGACGGCTCTCCATCTGGGCAAGGACATCAAGACGGTCAACATGATTGCGCTGCATCTGGGCAGTGGAGCGAGTGCCTGCGCCATCAAGAATGGCTGTAGCTGGGATACTAGCATGGGCTTGACCCCTGTATCCGGTCTTCCTGGCGCGACGCGAAGCGGAAGCATTGATCCCAGGTATGGAAAGCCCACACACACACACACACACACACACACACACACACACACACACACACACACACACACACACACACACACACACACACACACACACAACACACACACACACACACACACACACACACACACACACACACACACACACAC